GATCAGAATTTTACTCCAAACCCAGCAAGAAGCAAATATTACCAGGGCGGAAAAATTGTTAATGAGATTTTCCGAAGACGCTGTTAAAATTTTTGGGGACAAAAAATGTGAAACCATCAATGTTCACTGCTTACAGCACCTCCCTGATCAAGTCAGACGATTCGGTCCTCTTTTTGTTATGTCGGCCATGGCATTCGAATCAGCCCATTCTTTTCTAGCTCATTTTGCCACCGGCTCCCACGGATTTTGTCAAATCATTAGTAGGAGATATCTGGAGTATCATGAATTGCTAAAAGCTAGTGTTGAAAGTGATGACTTAACTTTATTGGCACGAGCATGGACCAACCAAGAGGAAGTTTCTCAAAATGAAAAAATTTTGCAAAAGCAACTCCATGAAACTATCCAAGTTTCTACTGCTCGTCTTCTTCATCCAAACGCACAAATAGTGTCAAGCTGCCGTTTAGGTCGTCGCTTTTTTGATTCCCTCTGTTACAAGCGAAATTTAAAGGGCCCGAATAGTCACGTGTATTGTCAATTAAATGAATCATTAATTTTTGGTCAAATCGAGTACTTTATTACGTTCGAAGATAGCGTTGATCAGTATGCATACGTAACCCTGTACGAAACTATCCGAACTAGTTTGTCAGATGATATCGACCTTAAGTTTCGAAATTTTTTTCAGGTCGTTCGATCGAACCAGACAATGTGGCTACCCGTAAACCAACTGAAAAAACTTGCACTTTTGGAAAATAAAACTGAGAAATGGCTGGCATTCGTGCCAAAGTTCATTGATCATAAGTAATAAGTTGTTGATATTTATTTTTTGCAAGTTCCCCCATTTGCTATGCTTGAATTTATAGAACTATATGTAAAAAATTTTCGCAGCTTCCCTCTTTTTGTATCTCACCAGTCGCGATCTTGAAGAACTTCAATTTTGATATGACTTATACTTTTTCGATAAAAGTTGCTAGGCTAGTTGTCTGAAATTTTGAAAGTTGATTTTAATTCTGGTTTCATTAGATTAGTTTTTTAGATGAAAAAAATCTTATTTATTGGAGATTCGAATTTGAGGAGATCAATCTCCTATATTGATAGCCCTGCTATCAATAAATTCAAGTTAGTATACAGTCCTCAGTTTTGCTCGATTTTGGTAAAAATGTAGCATGATTTCTTGACTGATTATTTTTCTATCATTATGCTACTGCCGGGAAATTGACGCAGAAGAAAGGCGCACTACCATGAAGCTGCGCTTCTTGGTCGAAAAGGCAAACAGTTTTGACTGTGTCGTAATTATAGCCGGCAACAACGATTTGAACAGCAAAACTGATCAGCAAACAATTCATAATTTGAAGCAATTTGAAGGGGCGTTGAAGCATCGCATAAAACTTAAAATTTGCGGCTTTCTACCGAGGCGTGATCACCCATGGGAGTATAATGCAGAAAAAAGATTATGGGAAAATCCCGTAACCAGGATCAACAACAAACTACGTTCGGCTTTCCCAAAAAGTTATGCATCGCCGGGAAAGTTCAAATTGGAAGATTTTAAAACTGATGATAAATGCCACCTAAATGATCTGGGCCAAAAGCACATGGCGCACTTTGTTTATAAGTGGTGCAAGCTGTTAATGCGCTGATTGTACATAATTCATCGGTTCTCGTTTCCGTTTTTGGAATTGATTCTGTGCTCCATTTTTTTCTTCATTTTTTTAGTAGAAAACATTAAGAAGGCTATTTTTCTCTTCAATTGTTTGGTACAAGCCATTCAGAAGACAATAATTAGAATAATGTCATTTAATCTATTATGATGCGGCTATCTATCAGTGGCTTCACTATCTCGCATTGTTTAAGCTTATTCAACGTATCAGTTTTGCATGTTTAACAAAAGAGTTTTCCAAGTATACGCTATATCATAATTTGCAATGGTTAAGTTTTTAACGATTTTTCAGTTTGATTTTAGTGTTCATTTAAACGAGTCAACGAAAAATTTGGATGCTGTCAGGTCTTCCCCAGGTTTTGCGATTTTGGCCTTCATTTATGAATAAACAGGTTTTTAAAAGAATTAGAAAAACTTAAATTTTATTAACTTCACAAAAAATGAGTTTCTCAACCCTGTAGTTCTATGCTGCCGGGGTACTCTTAAGGGTTGCGCATTTTGACTCGAAACCTCACTCTCAAATCCTTGTAATTTTTGAGATATGACGTTTCTTTCAACTTTTTCAAATCTTCACAAAACTTAGGTTTAAAAAATTGAATAATTTGAAATCCCAATCATGTAGTTGTAAGTTGTGAGGGTACTCACAGTAGTTGCAAATCTTGCCTCGGAATATGACTGCCCAAAGCCTTGTAGTTTTCGAAATATGACGTGTTTTATGATTTCTTTTTAATTTTTCAGAAAACTTAGAATTTAGAGTAACTTTTAAATGGTTTTTAAATTCTGATGTTTTTTAAGGTACTCTCAGAAGTTTCATTTTCGAATTTTGCGTTCTCAAATGCTTTCATTTTCCGAAATGTGATGTTTGTGATGTCTTTTTTTCAAATGTTCAGAAAACCTATTTATAAAAGTTTTCTGAATAATAGAAGTTTCTTTCTCTATAGTGATGCTCTGTCAGGGCACTTCTAAGAGTTGCGAGTTTTTCTTTCAAATATGACTGCTTAAACCTCGTTTTTTTCGCGGTATGGCGTTTTTGCCATTTTAAAAAAAATCCTGAATTTGATTTTTGCAAAATTTGGAATTCCTAACCCTGATTTTGGGCGCTATCGGAGTACACTCAAACTATATAAATGTCGTTTCCAATATTTGCAGTTTTTCATTAGTTCTCATAAATCCGAAGCACCGGAGGTGCGATACACGCTAGTTTAATATAATGTTAATACAATTTATAATAGTCCAAATAACAAAAGTCTTTTTTGCAAGGTCAAATTTTTTTTGCAAGTCACCTAAATGAAAAAATTGGCAATAAAGTAGTTGCAATGCAGACACTGATATATTTTGTTTTGTACTTCTATTGAAATTTTTCTGTTTGTCTTTGACATGATTTCTGTAATTTGCCTGCTGCTTGAAGTTTTAGTTATAACTATCTAACTCCTAATCAAACTGAATGTTGAAGTTAAAAACTGGTGTTTCGAGACGACAGATACCCTAATTTTGCGATCAAGTACTCTCCGTTGGTCTGTTGGCTCTGGACATCTCGTGTTAGCTGTATTTGCAATTTGGAACCCATTGCACTAGCCCCTATGTTTTAGTTTTAAAATGGCAAGTATTTTAGTTTGTCTGTGTTTGCCATTATTTGTGTATGTGTTCCCCAATGTGTCTCTATAAAAGCCCCTGTGTGTCTGTATGTGTTTCCCTATGTGTGTCTGTAAAGGTGCCCCTGTGTGTGTGCCACTGTGTGTCTCTGTGTGCCCCCATGTGTGTCTGTATGTGTGCCCCTATGTGTGTCTGCATGTGTGCCCCTATGTGTGTCTGTGCATGTGCCCCTGTGTGTGTCCATACGTGTGTCTGTATGTCTGCCCCTACGTGTGTCGGCATGTGTACCCCTAACTGTCTTTGTCTGCCCTTACGTATGTCTGTACATGTGCGTCTGTATGTGTGCCCCTATGGATGTCTGTATGTGGCCCCCATGTGTGTCTGTATGTGTGCCCCTACCTGTGTCTGTTTATGTGCACCTATATGTGTGTGTAAATTGTGCCCCTATGTGTGTCTGTACATGTGCTCCTATGTGTGTCTGTATGTGTGTCCCTACGGATGTCTGAAAGTGTGCCCCTACGTGTGTCTGTCTGGGTGCCCCTACGTGTATCTGTATATGTGTCCCTACGCGTGTCTGTATGTGTGCATGCATGTTGCCCACAGGTGTGTCTGTGTGTGTGCCGCTATCTGTGTCTGTCTGGGTGCCCCTACGTGTATTTATATGTGTCCCTACGCGTGTCTGTATGTGTTTATGTATGTGTGCCCCTTTGTGTGTCACTATTTATGCCCCTATGGATGTCTGAATGTGTGCCCCCACGTTTACCTATATATGTGCCCCTACGTGTGTCTTTACTTGTGCCCCTATGGATGTCTGTATATGGAGCCCATGTGTGTCTGTATGTGTGCCCCTACCTGTGTCTGTATGTGTACCACCACGTGTGTCTGTACATGTGCACCGATGTTTGTCTGTACAAGTGACCCTATGTGTGTCTTTACCTGTGCACCTATGTGTCTGTATGTGTGTCCCTATGGATATCTGAATGTGTGCCACTACGTGTGTCTGTGTGGGTGCCCCTACGTGTATCTGTATATGTGCCCCTACGTGTGTCTGTATGTGTGCCCCTATGTGTGTCTGTGTGTGTTCCCCTATGTGTGTCTGTATGTGGCCCCCATGTGTGTCTGTATGTGGCCCCATGTGTGTGTGTATGTATGCCCCTACGTGTGTCTGTATGTGCACCCCTACCTTCGTCTGTATGTGTGCCCCAATGTGTGTCTGTTCATGTGCCCATATATGTGTCTGTTTGTGTGCCCCTATGGATGTCTGAATGTGTGTCTCTATGAATGAGTGTCTGTATATGTGCCCCTACGTGTGTCTCTATGTGTACCCCTATGTGTGTCTTCATGTGTGCCCCTACCTGTGTCTGTACATGTGCCCTTATGTGTGTCTGAATATGTGCCCCTATGGATGTCTGTATGTCGCCCCATGTGTGTCTATATGTGCCCCTACCTGTGTCTGTCTTTACTTGTGCCCCTATGGATGTCTGTATATGGAGCCCATGTGTGTCTGTATGTGTGCCCCTACCTGTGTCTGTATGTGTACCACCACGTGTGTCTGTATGTGTACACGTAGTGGCACACATTCAGATATCCATAGGCACACACATACAGACACACATAGGTGCACATGTAAAGACACACATAGGGTCACATGTACAGACAAACATCGTTGCACATGTACACACATACATATAGTGAATGTGTGTACATGTGCACCGATGTTTGTCTGTACATGTGACCCTATGTGTGTCTTTACATGTGCACCTATGTGTGTCTGTATGTGTGTCCCTATGGATATCTGAATGTGCGCCACTACGTGTGTCTATGTGGGTGCCCCTACGTGTATCTGTATATGTGCCCCTACGTGTGTCTGTATGTGTGCCCCTATGTGTGTCTGTGTGTGGCCCCCATGTGTGTCTGTATGTGGCCCCATGTGTGTGTGTATGTATGCCCCTACGTGTGTCTGTATGTGCACCCCTACCTTCGTCTGTATGTGTGGCCCAATGTGTGTCTGTTCATGTGCCCATATATGTGTCTGTTTGTGTGCCCCTATGGATGTCTGAATGTGTGTCTCTATGAGTGTCTGTATATGTGCCCCTACGTGTGTCTCTATGTGTACCCCTATGTGTGTCTTCATGTGTGCCCCTACCTGTGTCTGTACATGTGCCCTTATGTGTGTCTGAATGTGTGCCCCTATGGATGTCTGTATGTGGCCCCATGTGTGTCTATGTGTGCCCCTACCTGTGTCTGTATGTGTACCTGTAAGTGTGTCTGTATATGTGCCCCTTTGTGCGTGTTTTTGTGCCCCTATGGATGTCTGAATGTGTGTCTCTACGTGTGCCTGTTTGTGTGCCATTACGTGTGTCTGTATGTGTGTCCCTATGTGTCTGTTCATGTGCCCATTTGTGTGTCTGTTTGTGTGCCCCTATGGATGTCTGAAAGTGTGCCCCCATGTGTGTCTGTATATGTGCCCGTACGTGTGTCTCTATGTGTACCCCTATGTGTGTCTTTATGTGTGTCGGTACATTTGCCCTTATGTGTGTCTTAATGTGTGCCCCTATGAGTGTCTGTTTGTGGCCCCATGTGTGTCTATGTGTGCCCCTACCTCTGTCTGTATGTGTACCCCTAAGTGTGTCTGTATGTGTGCCCCTTTGTGTGTGTTTGTGTGCCCCTATGGATGTCTGAATGTGTGTATCTACGTGTGTCTGTTTAAGTGCCCCTACCTGTATCTGTATGTGTACCCCTAAGTGTGTCTGTTTGTGTGCCCCTATGGATATCTGAATGTGTGACCCTACGTGTGTCTGTTTATGTGCCTCCACGTGTGTCTGTATCTGTGAGCCTATATGTGTATGTATTTGGCGACCTTATGTGTCAGTACATGTGCCCCAATGTGCGTGTCTGTACATGTGCCCCTGTGTGTGTGTCTGTATGTGGGCCCCTGTGTGTCTGTATGTGTGCCCCAACGTGTATCTGTACATGTGCCTCAACGTGTGTCTGTATGTGTGCCCGTATGTGTGTCTGTATGTGTGCCCCTACGTGGGTCTGCATGTGTGCCCCAACGTGTGTCTCTACTTGTGCTCCTATGGATGTCTGAATGTGTGCTCCTATGTGTGTCTGTTTGTGTGCCCCTATGGATGCCTGAATGTGTGACCCTACGTATTTCTGTATATGTGCCGCTACGTGTGTCTGTATCTGTGACCCTATGTGGGTATGTATTTGGCCACCATATGTGTCAGTACATGTGCCCCTATGTTTGTCTGTACATGTGCCCCTATGTGTGTCTGCATGTGCCCCTGTGTGTGTATCAATGCTTCTACGTGTATCTGTATACGTGCCTCTACGTGTGTCTGTATATGTGCCCCTATGCGTCTGTTTGTGTGCCCCTACGTGTGTCTGTATGTGTACCCCTACCTGTGTCTGTATGTGTGCCCCTATGTCTATGTGTGTGTCTGTATGTGTGCACATATGCGTGTCTGTTTGTGTGCCCCTATGGATGTGGGAATGTGTGCCCCTATGCGTGTCTTTATATATGCCCCTACGTGTGCGTGTTTGTGTGCCCCTATTGATGTCTTTATGTGTGCTCCTACGTGTGTCTGTACATGTGCCCTTATGTGTGTCTGTATGTGTGCCCCTATGGATGTCTGTATGTGGCCCCATGTGTGTCTGTATGTGTGCCCCTATCTCTGTCTATATGTGTACCCCTAAGTGTGTCTGTATATGTGTGTCTGTATGTTTGCCTCTTGTGTGTCACTACTTGTGCCCCTAAGGATGTCTGTGTATGTGCCCCTTTGTGTGTCACTACTTGTGCCCCTATGGATGTCTGGATGTGTGCCCCTATGTGTGTGTTTGTGTGCCCCTATGGATGTCTGATTGTGTGTCCCTACGTGTGTCTGTTTGTGTGCCCCTATGTGTATTTGTATGTGTGCCCCTACGTGTGTCTGTACATGTGCCCCTTTTGTGTCTGTACATGTGCCCCTTTTGTGCCTGTACATGTACCCCTGTGTGTGACTGCATGTGTGCCCCTGTGTGTCTGTATGGGTGCCCCTTCGTGTATCTGTATATGTGCCTCTAAGTGTGTCCCTATATGTGCCCATATGTGTGTCTGTATGTGTGCCTCTACGTGGGTCTGTATGTGTGCGCCTATGTGTGTCTGTACGTGTACCCCTACAAGTGTCTGTATGTGTGCCCCTATGTGTGTCTATACATGTACCCATATGCGTGTCTGTTTGTGTGCCCCTATGGATGTGGGAATGTGTGCCCCTATGCGTGTCTTCAAAGATGCCCCTACGTGTGTCTGTATGTGTACCCCTATGTGTCTTTATGTGTGCCCCTATGTGTGTCTGTACATGTGCCCTTATGTGTGTCTGTATGTGTGCCCCATGTGTGTCTGTATGTGTGCCCCTACCACTGTCTATATGTGTACCCCTAAGTATGTCTGTATATGTGTGTCTGTATGTTTGCCTCTTTGTGTGTCACTACTTGTGCCCCTAAGGATGTCTGTATATGTGCCCCTTTGTGTGTCACTACTTGTGCCCCTATGGATGGCTGGATGTGTGCCCCTATGTGTGTGTTTGTGTGCCCCTATGGATGTCTGATTGTGTGCCCCTACGTGTGTCTGTATGTGTACCCCTATGTGTGTCTTTATATGTGCCCCTACGTGTGTCTGTACATGTGCCCATATGTGTGTCTGTATGTGTGCCTCTTTGTGTGTCACTACTTGTGCCCCTAAGGATGTCTGAATATGTGCCCCTACCTGTCTGTTTGTGTGCCCCTATGGATGTCTGAATGTGAGTCCCTACGTTTATCTGTATATATGCACTTGCGTGTGTCTCTAGTTGTGCCCCTATGGATGTCTGAATGTGTGCGCCTATGTGTGTCTATTTGTGTGCACCTATGGATGTCTGAATGTGTGCCCCTGCGTCTGTCTGTATATGTGCCCATACGTGTGTGTGTGTCTGTGCCCCTATGTGTGTATGGATGTGGCCCTCATGTGTGTCGGTACATGTGCCCCTATGTGTGTCTGTGCATGTGCCGCTGTGTGTCTGTATGGGTGCCCCTACGTGTATCTGTATATGTGCCTCTACGTGTGTCTGTATGTGTGCCCCTACTTGTGTTGATGTCTGCCCCTACGTGTCTGTATGTGTACCCTACGTGTGTCTGTATATGTGCACCTACGTGTGTTTGTAACTGTGCCCCTATGTGTGTATGTATGTGGCCCCCATGTGTGTCAGTACATGTGCCTCTCTGTGGGTCTCTTAATGTGCCGCTATGTGTCTGTATGGGTGTCCCTACGTGTATCTGTATGTGTACCCCTCAATGTGTCTGTATGTGTGTCTGTATGTGGCCCCTATGTGTGTCTGTATGTGTGGCCCTACCTGTGTCTGTATGTGTACCCCTCAATGTGTCTGTATGTGTGCCCCTATGGATGTCTGAATGTGTGCCCCTGTGTGTGTCTGTTCGTGTGCCGCTCTGTGTGTCTGTATGTGTGCCTCTTATGTGTGTCTGTATGTGTGCCCCCATGTGTGTCTCTACATGTGCCCGTATGTGTGTCGGTACATGTGCCCCTCTGTGTGTCTCTACATGTGCCCCTATGTGTGTCTCTACATGTGCCCCTATGTGTGTCTGTATGTGTGCGCCTATGTGTGCATGTATGTGGCCACCATGTGTGCCCCTACGAGTATCTGTGTGTCTGCCCCTATATGTGAATGCATGTGGCCCCCATGTGTGTCAGTACATGTGCCCCTATGTTTATCTGTTTATGTGCCGCTGTGTGTCTGTATGGGTGCCACTACGTGTCTCTGTATATGTTCCTCTACGTGAATCTGTATGTGTGTCTGTATGTAGTCTCCATGTGTGTCTGTATGTGGCCCCACGTTTGTCTGTATGTGTGGCACTACATGTGTCTGATTTGTACCCCTCAATGTGTCTGTATGTGTGCCCCTATGGATGTCTGAATGTGTGCCCCTATGTGTGTCGGTACATGTGCCCCTGTGTGTCTGTATGTGCGCCCCTCAGTGTGTCTCTACATGTGCCCGTATGTGTGTCTCTACATGTGCCACTATGTGTGTCTGTATGTGTGCCCCTATGTGTGTCTGTATATGGACACCATGTGTGTCTGTATGTGTGCCCCTGCGTGTGTCTGTATGTCTGCTCCTGTGTGTGTCTGTTTGTGTGCCCCTACGTGTGTCTGTATACGTGCACCTATGTGTGTCTGTATGTGTGCCCCCCTATGTGTGTCTGTATGTGTGCCCCTATGTGTCTGTTTTTCCTTTTTCCCTGATTGTTTTAATCTTTCGCAGGTTGGAACAGGGTTGCCCTCACTGGATCTCCTACCCGGTGCCCGCTGAGGTCACTGGTTCTCCTTCCCGATGCCCGCTGAGGTCACTGGTTCTCCTATCCGATGCCCACTGAGGTCACTGGTTCTCCTATCCGATGCCCGCTGAGGTCACTGGTTCTCCTACCCGATGCCCGCTGAGGTCACTGGGCCTCCTACCCGATGCCCGCTGAGGTCACTGGTTCTACTACCCCATGGCCACTGAGGTCACTGGTTCTCCTACCTGATGCCCGCTGAGATCACTGGTTCTCCTACCCGATGCCGGCTGAGGTCACTGGTTCTCCTACCCGATTCCCGCAGAGGTCACTGGGCCTCCTACCCGATGCCCGCAGAGGTCACTGGGCCTCCTACCCGATGCCCGCAGAGGTCACTGGGCCTCCTATCCGATGCCCGCAGAGGTCACTGGTTCTGGAGAAGTTTAGGAGAACATGAATATGAACAAATGGGAGAACATGAAGATGAACACATTTAACCTGTTTTTCTGATTCGTTTTAAATGTATGCTGATTCTATGTCTTAAATTATTCTTTGCTTTAACTGCATGTTTTTAGGAAAACTTAGTAATCTTACATTTTTAAACTTGCTTTTTTCTTCCAGACATAGAAAGAACTAAAAATAGAATAGCCTAATTAACGAAAAAAAATGGATTATAATGGATTTTCTTGACAAAATAGTCGATTATATTGAAGAAAAAAATGGATTATAATGGATTATAATGGATTATAATGGATTATAATGGATTTTTATTTTTCAAAAAAAATCGATTTTAATGACCACATAATCGATTACGTGGTCTAAATTTGCCACAATAATGGATTATAATGGATTATAATGGATTATAATGGATTATAATGACAACATTTCAGACAACATTTTTCCAATATAATCGATTATTATCCATGGAACTCCGGTGCGGGTACTTTATGATCCGTTTGTACCGTTCGCAAGACATTGATAGTTGCGTACACACGAATGAAAGCTGGCTTTTAGAGCAAACAATAAATGTTTGCAAACCAGTTGTTTCTACGCTCACGTTAATTTATTTGGTATAACAACCCGTTCAAAGTATAGATTAGACTATTTCATAAATTGCTGTATGACAATTGGTTTTGTTATACACGTCCTCTGGAAAACTTTCATGAAAAGATCAAAATTGTTTGAGTGGTATTCGTTTATCGCTAGGTTTGCTAATGAGTGGTGCAATACTTTCATCGTTTGACCTAAAATTTACCTGCACTGAATGCAACGTAGAAGAAATTTCGGATCCACTTAACATTCCCCCCCCCCCTTTCAAGAAAGTGGGGGGGGGGGATTCTTTAGTAGGTACAATAGGGGGGGGGGGGAGAGATTGTTAAGTAGATCCGAAATTTCTCTCGTTGAACAAGTGAAGTGGGGGGTGCGACATGCGGCTTGAAATGAGACCACACGAATGGCTCAATAGTTGTAACTCGTGCTTTAAATCGTCAGTTTAAGTAACTGATCACTCAACGATCCCTACTAACTAAGCTTTGTTTGTCTGTTTTTTATACGATTTGACTCATCGCCTCGTGCACCGTGAGAAGGCGCTTACTTCTTCGTGATACTTGGCGTTAAAATGGTAACAAGACTGCTCGTATCAGGGCGAAGCCCTGAATGTCCCGACTGCCCATTAACGTTTATGGAGCAGTAATATCATTAAAAAATTAAAAGTAATAAAACAAAATGAAATTTTTTTTTTTCAAAATTTTTTAACTTTTTTTAAATCATCCCCCCACACGCCAAATAAAGTACAAAAGGATAGGTTTCGCTACTTGTAACAAATCATTTATGGCAAATAAGCTTCGTAAACTAATTTGGAACGATTTCTAAGACAGATTAACTCTCCGCTTACGCGTTAATAGCGCGAAATGTATCGCGCGTTAATTGTCCAAAATTGGTCAAAATAGCAATCTTTAAACCCTCATAACTTTACGAAAAACGATCACAGGTGAAAAATTTTTTCAAATTTAAGCTTAGGACAACAATACCTTTCGAATGATTTTTAAAAATTCCGTCAAAAATGGCTAGTTAAAAAGTCGAAACTTGTCTGAAGAAAAAAAACCCACCCCGAGCACAATTATTCCGTTACTTTCGTATCGAAAGTCGGAACAAAAACTGGAATCCCGCACCGGAGTTCCATGGATAATAATCGGTTATAATGCTTATCGATTATAATTGATTATAATGGGTAGTAAACTGGGGGCTTAATTGGGAGGGGGCGGTAAGCGGTAAACTGTTAGTTAAAGTGCTAGTTAAACTGCGATGAATTAAAAAAAATTAGAGACAAAAAAAATTTAAATTTTATTCTGAAATGTAACATTTTATGAAACGTAATTCGTAGCAACTGCACTAAACAGGAAATGAGATAATTTTGAACAAAATTGTAAATTTCAAGAATAACCTCTCGAAAAAATCCATTATAATCGATTAAAAATGGATTATTTTGCCTCGAAAACAAGTTTCATTTTCTTTCAAAAATAATCGATTATAATCGATTATATTAGTTTTTTTTATTTGAAAATAGTTTCATTATAATCCATTTTTAATCGATTATAATCGATTATTATCGAAATTTATTGAGACAGACCACGAAACTTCAATATAATCGATTATTATCCATGGAACTCCGGTGCGGGATGACCACTGCCTCAAGATCTTAAGGAACATTTTCTTGAGTTGCATTCCGGATTAAGTACGCTGGGTCAGAACGCCGTTGCGTTTAGTTGATTCGAATTGCGCGGTTTCTTGCCTTTGTGCATGTTCTTGTGGCGCGATAGCACCACGGTGCTTTATAGTCTTTATTTGATATAAAAAGACTCCCGTTTTTGTTGTTAATCGGATGGCAGAAAATCTCGGTTTGACCACGGTTGATGATTGGCTTCAAGTCGCTTCTAGAACTGGAACCTGCCGCATTTCGACTGATAGTTTGAAAAAAAGTACATGGGTCTTGGGGATAAATTTCCATCTGATGAGTGACTGACCTCTCAAACCTTCATCGACATCACTACTAAATAACTTGATTATGATGTTGTCACCACTGCTAGTTTCGTGGTTAGTGCAAGTGCTCCTGCGAACCCGTTTATCATTTTGAGTGCTTATTCTGCGCATTTAGTGTGCATTTAGCTTATTCCGCCGACTAAAACGCGTTCACTCGTGTTGACTAAAACTCTTGCCCAGTCACAAATGCTTTTGTAAATCAGATGCGACATTAAAAGATTCATTTTAAATTACTGTTACTGAAAAAAAGCTGCTATGTTCTTTGCAATAGCAGTCGTTCTCATAATTATTTCAAATGTTGTCATTTACTAAAAAAGGTCAATTCGAGTGGTTGAAACGCGAGCCTTTTGCGGGTCCAGATAACCTCGTTCATTCCAGCTACCGTATATCAAGCGAACATTGGAAAAGCTTTGTGAACTTGGATGTTCATCATCCTATGCTTTAGTAGTGTTGATCATCTGCCGTTTTTCAGGGAGCATCATCATCAAATCTTTAAACCTTCACGTTTGATGATTCCGTTAACTTTCGCTGTACTCAAATAGCGCTTAATACTCCTGGCCATCGAAAAAAAGTTTTATATGTCGTTAACGAAAAGCCGCTAGCTTCAAACTGACGGAGTCAGAACTCCTGGATGTGACTTTGAGTTCAAGCAACCACCTTTGAACAATTGCAGTGTCAATTTCTTTGGTCCATATCATGTAACGAACCAGCGAAGCTCGGAAGAACATTTTTTTCGGCTTTCTAACCATCGGCGCCGTTCATATCAAAATTGCACTCTCCCTGGATACAAGCTAGTTTGTGATGGGTACACCGTCCGTCTTTTGTACTAGGACAAATTTTGTTCACTTAAAAATCCCGCAAATTTACGTTTCCGTAAAATAACCAAAGACGTTCTTAGTATACCTTTCTTTTCAGAGCTGGAAAGTTCAATAAACACACGGGCTATTACCTCGATGAGCAGGTTCGATTCAGGGGCACTCAAGCCTAATCACGTTTTTCTGCTTGGATTGTTTTTGGTATCTGTTCGCTACTGATTGTTTGACCATAAGAAACGTTATATCAGCCCACAGTCCCACGGCTGTGAGCGCAGCATGTGGCTGGTAATCTCTTTTGTAAAATTGACTCGAAAAGCCTGACATGGTTTTACTCGCTCGCCGACATCGTCGCGTTAGTTTTGGCAAAGATAACACAGCCCGTTCCGCTTTTTGTTCTCGCTCCGTTTCTTCCTTCCCTGCGGGCAGAGGATGTTAACGTGAGACGGTGAAAAGTTCGCCCTTTGAATTAAGATTGAACTAAATACGTCTCATTGGAATCTATCGGCCATGCCGCCAAAAAACTAGTCCTTTTTTGATGCAAA